CACTGTGGGTGTTGGTCGATCCATACCAAGTTCAAGTCGATGATTGCCAATTTCTTCGGAGTTTCGTTGTTGTGTTTTCCTGGAGTTGCTGCTCTCCACATCTTATTGGTCATATGCTCTTTAGTCTGTTGGGATGTCCGTCTGCACCATCAAGAAAGAGGAGTGGCTTAAAGTCACATGGGGCATTATTGTGCTAGGAACATTTTCATTGGATAACATGTTACATGTGGTAAACCCTTTTGTGTACATTCTGTTTTGTTTTTCTTTGAATATCTACAATATCCTTTCTTTGCTGCTGAGGAATAAAGAAAGAGATTAAGCAAAATATGAGCATCCGTGTCCTTAATAAAATCATGACTTTACGTCATGAAATTAGTCAAATCTGGTCATTTGTTTGGAATGCAGGCAGTCAGCTTTGTTTTTAGTATTTTAGCCTAAAATTGGAAATTCAATTCCAATGAATTCACATATTGAGAGACATTTACTCCCTCAGTTTGCGAAAAACATAATTTCTGGCTTAGAAGGGGTTTTAAAATAAATATTACATTGTTAGGAACACTGGATATAATATATATTATCGTATATTATCACTAGCAGGGTTATTCACTAATGTTAATTTTTGGGGGGAACTGAAAGTGAATTTTAGGCCAAAATACTCAAATTGGAAATATTCTCAAAGTCAGTTATGCTTCCAGTTCAGCTACTGTGGCCTTAAATTTAGAATTTACTTACCACAAAAGTATCCCTTTAGTGAATAACTCTGTTAGATAACAGTTATGTTATCAGTAGGTCAGATTTAAACTGTCATTTTAAGTGCTATAACTATTACAGCAGCTCAATGTATTGGTTGTGGTGCAAAAAGGTTGTGGATACTATCGTTGTTAGTGCATGAGTGTGTAGCAAAGCACCACAGCAAAAATTATCACAGTAATGTGTCTTTAAAGAGACACTATAGGCGTCCAGACTACTTAAAGGACCACTATAGTGCCAGGAAAACATACTCGTTTTCCTGGCACTATAGTGCCCTGAGGGTGCCCCCACCCTCAGGGTCCCCCTCCCACCAGGCTCTAGGAGGTGGAAGGGGTTAAATTTACCTCTTTCTCCAGCGCCGGGCGGGGGACTCTCCTCCTTCTCTCCTCCTCCTTGGCTGAATGCGCATGCGCGGCGTGAGCCGCGCACGCATTCAGCCAGTCCATAGGAAAGCATTCTCAATGCTTTCCCATTGGACGCTGGCATCTTCTAACTGTGAAAATCACAGTGAAAGGCGCAGAAGCGCCTCTAGCGGCTGTCAATGAGACAGCCACTAGTGGCTGGATTAACCCTATTATAAACATAGCAGTTTCTCTGGAACTGCTATGTTTATAGAAGAAAGGGTTAAACCTAGCTGGATCTGGCACCCAGACCACTTCATTAAGCTGAAGTGGTCTGGGTGCCTATAGTGGTCCTTTAAAGGGTCACCAAAACAAATTTAGTTTAATGAAACAGTTTTGGTGTATAGATCATGCCCCTGCAGTCTCACTGCTCAATTCTCTGTCATTTAGGAGTTAAATCACTTTGTTTATGAACCCTAGTCACACCTCCCTGCATGTGACTTGCACAGCCTTCATAAACACTTCCTGTAAAGAGTCAGCTAATGTTTATCCTTCCTTTATTGCAAGTTCTGTTTAAATTAGATTTTCTTATCCCATGCTATGTTAAAAGCTTGCTAGACCCTGCAAGTCTAATTGTATGTGATTAAAGTTCAATTTAGAGCGAAAGAGATACAATTGTTTAAAGGATCACTATAGGCATCCAGACCACTTCAGCTTAATAAGGTGGACTGGGTGCCAGGTCCATATAGGATTAACCCTGCCTGCTGTAAACATAGCAGTTTCAGAGAAACTGCTATGTTTACATATGGGTTAATCGAGCCTCTAGTGGCTGTCTCATTGACAGCCGCTAAAGGCGCTTCTGCGCTTCTCACTGTGAAAATCACAGTGAGAAGACGCCAGTATCCATAGAAAAGTATTGAGAAGGCTTTCCTATGGACTGACTGAATGCGCACGTGGCTCGTGCCGCGCATTGGCATTCAGCCGATGACGTTGAAAGGAGGAGGAGAGTCCCCAGCGCCGAGGGAGCCCGGCGCTGGAGAAAGGTAAGTGTTTTACCCCTTCCTCACACTGCAGCCCGGCGGGAGGGGGGCCATGAGGGTGGGAGTATGTTTTCCTGGCACTATAGTGGTCCTTTAACCCCTTAAGGACAAAAATTCTGGAATAAAAGGGAATCATGACATGTCACACATGTCATGTGTCCTTAAGGGGTTAAGGTAAATTACATCTGATTGAAAGTGAAACCAGTTTTTTTTCATGCAGGCTGTGTCAGTCAGAGCCAGGGGAGGTGTGACAAGGGCTGCATAAACAGAAACAAAGTGATTTAACTCCTAAATGGCACTGAATTGAGCAGTGAAACCTGAGAGACATGATCTATACACTTATACTGCTTCATAAAGCTTAAGTTGTTTAGGTGACTATAGTGTCTCATTAATTTCATTTAAGTTGTGTGTCAAATTATACACATCTGCAATCAGACCCAGTGAGGTAGATCAATGATCTCCCTCCTTGGGCTATTATTAGCTTCTGCAGTTGGAGAGGAACCCCGTCAGACTCTCTTTCTGGACTTCTGCTAGGTCCTCATTCTGTATCTCATATTCCAGTGCATCTTGTATTCTGAAAAAAAAAATAACTTTTAGGAATCTTTAGAGCTTACTTAATAACAATTCCCAGATTTAACTATTTACATGACATAAAGTCATGATTTTATTAACTCCTTAAGGACTGAGCCAAATGTACACGTTGTGATCAAAACAAAACGTAAACAAAAACTTTAATTTGCGCTATATGTCTGTTCAGGCGTAATTTGCCTCTTTCATATTATGTGCACCCACACTTATTATATATCATTTTATTCAGGGGAAACAGGGCTTTCATTTAACATCAAATGTTTAGGTATGAAACATAATTTAATATGAATAAAATATAAAAAAATGGGGAAAAAAATAAGAATTTAAGATTTATTTTTTTTTAGTCCTACGTGACATTTTAACCGTGAGTGTCATAATACTGTTTGCGTTTACTGCAATAAAAGACACATATTTGTATTCAGCGATGTCTCATGTGTAAAACAGTACCCCCTATGTACAGGTGTTATGGTGTTTTGACAAGTTACAGGGTCAAATATAGCATGTTATATTTTTCAGTTTTCTCCCAGGAATAAGAATTACCCCCATGATAGCATAATGTTTGCAAAAGTAGACAGCCCAAGGTATTGCAAATGGGGTATGTCCAGTCTTTTTTAATAGCCACTTAGTCACACGCACTGGCCAAAGTTAGTGTTAATATTTGTTTGTGTGTGAAAAATGCAAAAATCTAATTTGAACGCCAATTTTGGCCAGTGTTTGTGACTAAGTCGCTACTAGACTGAACATACCCCATTTGCAATATCTTGGGTTGTCTATTATTGCAAATGGTATGCCATCATGGAGGTAATTCTTATTCCTGGGTCTCAAAGGCAACGTAACCAACCTTGCGAATTTCAATGTGAAAAAACTGAAACGCAAGCCTTATATTTGACTCTGTAACTTTTGAAAACAAAATAAAACCTGTACATGAGGGGTACTGTTTTACTCGGGAGACTTCGCTGAACACAAATATTAGTGTTTCAAAACAGTAAAACGTATCACAACAATTATATCATCCGTGTAAGTGCCATTTGTGTGTGAAAAATGCAAAAAATGGCACTTTCACTGACACTGATCAGTCCCCTTGAAGAGCCCCCTGACCGGTGAAATGCTCGTCTGGGCTCGGCTCCATCTCCTAATTTAGCTGGGACATTACTAAACGCTGAACCCAAACATACAACATATTTACCGATTTTAAGTTATATCATCCAGTGGCTTTATTAGGTATGTTACCTTCATGTGATTAGCTAGGAAATCCTATTATTGGGAGTTATAGCAGCACTCCTCTGATTCTTAGCTAGGCTGCCCTCGAAAGCGCAGTGTTTCGTTTTCTTTCTAATAAGTTTATAGACAGACATTAAGATTCATTCCCTATTAACGGGTTGTCTCTTTTCTACACTATTTACTTTAGTAATTTAGTTTAGTCCTTTGCCACAAATATAGTTACACTTTTATGGGAGATTTCTATTTCAACTAAGTTTGTTACATTACCTCAGTGATAAGCTACATTGCTGTTCTATAGATACATAATGTATGCAATTTGTATAAATGTATTTCCCTAGCTGCTATATTTTAGCAATGTGTTTGTCTTTTATGTTCTTTTCACCACAGTTTTGTTTTAACATGAAGCTATGTTGCATTTTATTAGCTAGGTGACAACCATTTATAGGATTTATCCCTTTGTTTTTTTTCTTGCATCTTAGTAGGGGTTATCCCCTTTCCCATATGTCCTGGAACCTCTATACTTTGCTCTGCTCCCCTTCTGCCATCCCACCCTCTTCCCCTACTCCCACACAAATACACACCTTCTTATGTTAATAAAAATCCAAAGCCAGTACATCAAACACCAGTTTACAGGAGATCAGATGAAGAAGCAAAATGTGTTTGGGTGAACTGTTGTTTCAAAGAGAGATCTGTGTTTATAAGCCAACAATCTAGGGAACATAGAACCATATTAACATTCCAAAAGGAAGAGTAGTAGGGAGCAGTTGGTCTAGCAAAGCGAATACTGTTTAGAAGCCTGCAGAAAGTCGTTGAGTCGTGAGTTAGCTATTCAATTAATGTGTAGAGCTGAAATGGTACAGCCGATTACACTCCAGAGTGGACTGGGTCTGGGATATCCCCCGCTGGTCCGGGGGTGGTGGGAGAGGGGGGTGGAGGTTCAGCTCTTTAGAAGCCTGCAGAAAAAGGGAGTATGACAAAGTAGAGATCCATCAAGACCCTTATGGTTTGGCGAAGTAGTCAGACTATAAAGATTCAAAAAGAGTGGTGAGGGGGCGGAGCTCGGACTGCAAGCTGGCAGGAAGTGCATCGCACAAGCTCCCACTGCTAATGCTGTTTTACCGGTGATTACCCGGTATTAACACGCCGGAGACCTAAAAGTAAGGTGATTCCCATGCTGGGGACACCCTAACCTACCTTTGGGCACTTTAGCCTACATCCTGAGGCTCCAAGAACTGAGGCGACAGGCTGCGGCCTACTGGGGACCGAATGGAGGAGAGCTAGATGAGCTAGACGAGAATCGCTTACCCCTCCCCCCCCCCTCTGGACCGGCAGGGGATATCCCGGTCCACTCTGGAGTGTAATCGGCTGTACCATTTCAGCTTTACACATTAATTGGATAGCTAACGCTCGACTCAATGACATTTCAAGATAGCGGATATGTCGTGTACAAAAGCATGCGGCGTGAATGCAACCGAGAGGGCATTCAGCGATTCCACTGCTTACTCCCTATGGCGGCTAGACCAGATCTTCCAGAACTTCTAGCAGAAAATACATACACGCACAACAGCAACTATAATCTACAAGCCTATACCGCGGAAGGGACTCCGGAGAAGAGAGCAGCCATGCATGGTTACACCTCCTCAGCGCGCAAACCTGCAGCAAAGAATTCACAACCCCAAGACCGCTCACCAAGGCCGGGGGCCACCCAAGGTAAAACCCAGAGGCACCGACCACACGGGTGGAAAAGCAGTCATGACAGGTGGAGATTGCCACTCACCCGTCCCGCCCTCCCCTTGCAGGGGATAGACTTGGTCCCTCGACGAACCCAAGCCAGTGGTACAAAGATGCCGGTCCTTACGCAGGCCTGGGGCCGAGGAGGCACCACACTCCGGAACAGCACATACCCAAGCGGGGTAACAGCTATGACACCTAGAGGAATTGGCTGAACTTGCTCTAGGGACTGCCATCCGAGCAAATTCCCTCTCCGACAACTAGAGAATCTATCCATATGCTTTAAGTAACGAGCGCTAAGTTAACATTACATTACCATCTGATTTATTTTCTCTGCTTCTATCTCTCTCTATGCTAATTGATTTGTTGTTGATGCTGTACAGTACCCATAAATAATGCTCCCAAAGATATAAACTAAGTGACTTCACCTTAGCCTGAATATTAACTAACACATCCTAGATACTCACCTTGACAAATCATACTTATGTTGTAACAGACCACAGCTACCTAGTGTACAGCAAAATATACACACTGACCTACATGTCCAGATCCAAGGTGTAACGTTACACTTAATTTAGTTTAACATGAAAAAGCAAAGTTTCACCTTATCTATTACACTAATGCAGCATATATTTGATTACCTAAATCGAGTGACAACCATATTATTCAAGGAGACATTAGCAATGTTAAGCATGTCTATGAAACAAAAATGTGCAATTCTCATATGTCACTGTTTGGATTAACTATATTTGACTGTATGTGATTATATGTGATAACGCTGTTGTGGCGATAGAAACACTATGTAACCACCTGCACACAAAAAAAAGAGAGTGGTGAGAAAATAAAGAACTGCAGTTAAAGGAGCTAATACTGGATCCAAACCCTGTCCCATGTACTAACCAGACCAGGTATGTCAGGCTGAGTGGCAAGAGTGCCTTGTAACTGGAGCCCATGCATCCTCAAGAAGATGAAGAGATCCATGCATAACTCCATTGATCAACCAGGGTTCCCTGAATTCAGCCAAGCCATCAGATGAAAAAGTCCTGATTCACCAACTCATGAAAGTTCCCGTCTGGATCTAGGAGGAGAGAGGAAATAATCGGCAATAGCCAAGGAAAATCTATCAACAGCTCTAGAAGGTGAGTGTAACATGGTTGAGACCACCAGAGGGGAGTTTTCAGCACCAGCATCCCACCCCATAGAAAGAGATAAAGAAGGACCCTCAAGATGGAATTTTCAGCGGGAAGCAAAGTGATCAATATCCAAAGCATCCCAAAGATGGCCAAGTTTCTACAACAGAGATCAATGTAAATGACAATCCCTGGAATCCTTGCGGTAACTCGAGTTCCAATCTGCTGTCAAATTGATCAGACCAGGAATGTGTTCTCCCACGATCAATATACTATGTACACTGCTAGTGTCATTACTCCAGGTGATTTATGTAACGGACTGCCAACACATTGTCTATCTTAAGGAGGATGGAGCAAGAGGCGTTTGAAGGGGAAACCATGAAGAGGGAAGAGGTTGCCTTCCCCACCAGCCATTTTACACATATTCAAAGTCTGGCAAGGCTCAGAAATGGCACCGAAACTCTACCCCCAAAAATATGGCGTAATGAAAATGGCCACCACACATTAAGTGCACCTGCGCAGCAGTGCCAAAACAACTTTATATATTGAAAAATTAATAGGAAACCCTTATTATCCAAACGATATTACTAGTAAGGGTTGGTCAGTGTTGGTGGTACCAATTCCACCCTAGGGCTTACCCCTAATTAACTTAGAATGATTAGATTTTAAAGGAGATCCCAGAAGGGGATCCATAGATTGTTATTTATAAGGAACATTTTACAGCCCTAAGAGTGAATGCAGCTGTGATAGAATGAAGGGAAATAGATACAATTTGGCAACAGAGATTTTCACTTTACTTATTCAGTAGTTCATTAGGCTTTACTTATTTGCCAAAATGAAAACAGTGTACCTCTGTTTACAAATTAAATTAGGGTGTCTATTAACGTAATGGGAGTATCAATAATCACTCTGAAGAATATGAATCAGACTCCAATTTCTGTGTCTGTTTTATAGTTATAGAATGCAATTATCTAGTCCAATCCCAGTGCTGCTCTCAACAAGATTAGAAAGGGAAAAAAAAATCACTAAACAGTTACTTCCCATATAAACAATCTAAAATAGGGATATCAAGAGAGTATTGCCACATTAAGGATGATGCTAATTATAGAGAGGGGAATAGGGATAGTTATAGGAGGTTAAAGCGTCCATAGTGAGGGGAGAGGGGTATTACAAAAGGAGTGAATCCTATAACTCTTCCTGCCTGCACCTTAATAGGTGTTTAAATGCTGTATAGAGCCATTGCTGTTCTCACAAATATACTAGCTGCCAAATACTAGGCTAAATAGTAGAGTAGACTTCTCCTAGTTCTTCCTGTCTGCACCTTCGTGGGTGCCAATAATATCAGCTATTATAGCTGCAGCTACATGCCAAATGCTAGGTTAAATAGTAAACTTCTCCTAGTTCTCCCTGTCTGCACCTTCATGGGTGCAATAATATCAGCTATCATAGCTGCAGCTAAGTGCCAAATGCAAGGCTAAACGGTAGAGTAAACTTCTCCTAGTATGTAACTCAGTTACTCCTATTCTGAATCACCAATACCTTCCGTATCTATCCTTGTTGCTATCCCCATAAAATTCCCTGCAATCCCACCAACACCCTATTAATCAAAATAGTGAATATGTGATAAATCAGTGCATAGTGCAAGTAAAAATAAAATTAAATAAACCCGACGCGCGTTTCGGTGCTCAAACGGCACCTTCGTCAAAGGCGAGAGACAAGTATGAGGTGAAAAGTATGAATTAGTTGTTACTGAAATGTATATTTATAGGAAACAATTTGATGTAACATAATTTCTCACGCACTTCCTGTCAGACCGAGTAGAGGGCATATGTGATAGAGTGAGGAGCACAACCAAAAAATAAATGATTCAGCTTTATTAAATACACCATAAACATATGGTCTCCATGACAGGCATAAAAAGGCACTTCGAATGATGCTGTTGGATACTGGGTCAGGGTGAAACGCATATGCATTACACCATATACTTAGTTTTGAGAGTGGGGATCGTACAGACAATTCCGCTTTCAGTGGAATAGTGACGGATCTCTCCTTTCTCCTCAGGTACTTTTGGTCATCGTGATAGGTATTTATTATTATATATTCTCTTTATTGTTCTTCTTTTTGTGTATTTTTATGTTTGGTTTCCTTGACAACAAAGATCATTTGCTCATGATTGGGAGGATCCTATCAATTATGTGGCCACCCATATGTTCACGTGTTTTTCATTACTGTTTCTTTTAATGATATATAAGGGATTGGGTGATGTTCCTCCTTACATGCTCACTTGATAAAGACATTTTTCCAAAATGTTGAGGACATTTACCTGGTTATCCATCTCTTTTCACTATTCTTGTATCCATCTTTGTATTTTTGGTATGTATTCTGTTTTTTTTTTTTATAGTGTTATATTTTTCCATGATTTATAGAACCTGATATATTAACAGTTAATGCTTTATGCATACTAGTTATTGGTATTTTGTTTGGCACATTAATATATATTATTTCCCTGTATTGAGATATTAACCATCCATACTTAATATTGTTTTGTACTGTATATTGTACTAGTACCACATTGTTAGAAGAGACACACAAAGTGGCTGAGGGGGGACAAAGAGACACACAGAGGGGCCCTGAGAGAAAGAGACACATTGAGGGGCTGGGTGGAAAGTAAGACACACAGAAGGACTGAGGGGGCAAAGTGACACACAGAGGGGCTCAGTGAATCAAAGAGACAAACATTGGGACGGGGGGACAAAGAGTCATACATTGGGACTGGGGGGGGGACAAAGACACACAGAATTGGCATTTTATTTTTGGGGAGATTGCAAGAAGCTGGTCTTGCATAGGGAGAAAAATAGTCTAGCACCGGATCTGGAATTTTCCAAAGCTCAGCATCATGGGAAGAATGCAAGCGTTTTCATTTGGAACCCCGGAAAAGCTTTATGCCCGAGATTGTGTAATTTGATTACCTTAAGTTCTAAATAAATGCTGAAATATGGAAAAAGACAAACCATATCCTTAAAATACAACTATGCCTAAAATATAGAAACAATAGTTGAAAATTGGTATATATGAAACTTATGAATGGGGGGTAACCCCTAGTGAATAGTATCCACCAATAGAACAAAACTAGACCCATACTATCAGTAGTAGTGGGAGAGAGTGTAGATTGTTACCCTTAAGAAGGGAACAAGTTTGAACACTGAAGCGAACGGACGCAAGCTAAGGGAGCTCTGAGTCTTAAACAGAGAAAAACGCATGAAATACCCCCCCTTAACATCCCAATAGACAGGCAAACACCCCAAGACCTAATGGGGAGAAAGGGGAAGAAAACGATACCACACAAGCCACCTCGGGACTTACAATAGGGGAGATGTGGAGGCAAGCACGTGGAGCCTCCGAAACAAACATGGCGGCTCAGCACGGTGGGTGCTCGGATTTCTCTGAGGACATATCCGATGAGGAAGAGGGGGGACTCTCACAGCCTCCTAACCCACCACAAAAGGCACAACAAGGCGGCAAAGGGTCAGACACAGAGCCGATCACCATATTGGTCCTGAAGGCATTACTGACGGACCTGAAACGCAGCTTCCACGAGGATGTCACAGCGCTCCGCGCAGACTTGAAAGGCCCAAACTGGAGGGCTCCTCACAATCCCAGGCCCAGGAGGTTGCTGCAGTACAACACACCGTACAAGCCCTGGAACAGCAGACCCAGCAATACGAACATCGCCTTGTGGCGCTCGAGGACGCCAGGTGGGCTTCCAACATTAAAATCAGGGGAGTCCGTGAGGACATTACAGAGGCCGAACTGCCTAAACTAATGGAGCAGATGTTACTAGAAATACTGCCACGACGACAGAAATCAACAATCACCCCAGAAAGGGTCTTCAGAGTCCCTAAACCAACAAACGCACCACCCACGGCCACGAGAGATGTCATCCTGACCCTCCGCAATAGCGGACATAAGGTGGCGATCCTGTCTGCTCTCCGAGGCAGGACCCCCTTCCGCTTCGAAAACATGGACCTCTCACTCTACACAGACCTGTCCAGCGGCACCCTGGCCTGGCGTAGGTCGCTACGGCCACTCACCTTAATTCTTCGTGCCTGCAAGATTGATTACCGCTGGCGGTCCCCCAGAGCATTGACAGTCCAGCGAGGATCGAACTTGCATAACATTCAGGACATTCGGGACGCCCCGGCCTTCCTTCGGCTCTTGGACCTACCTCAAGAATTGCTGTCCCCAGCAAGACTGGCCAACAAGGATAACAACAGCTCCCCTAACTGCACCCATACCCGGGACCCAGATCGGATCGCCCCATTCATCTCCCAAAGCTCTACGCCGGACACATATTCAACAATCACGACATAGAGGCACAGAGATACTCACCTGTCAGAGTCTCGGATCCGCCGCCTGGCTTCGGTAAGGACATAGTACACAACTTGCGACCCACTGACACTAGCTGCCGAGCTACCTCGAACCAGGACTGGCACAACCGGACAGGACTACGGAGACCTGATAAAACAGACCAAAGCCCCCCAATTCCAATGAAGACCCCCCGCTCCCGGACAACCCTGTGTCCCTGCCCCAACTGGGCTAGGTGGACAGACTCAGGCCAGAAATACGGAGACTATTTTTACTTTTACAATTACTTAGAAAAGGGAAAAGGAAGGTGAAGAAAAGGGAAGAAAAAGGATAATTTTATCTTTATTTTTAGTTTATTTCTTTTCTGCTTTTAATCCCGAGACCCACTAGACATGCTCAACTTGCTCTTATGTCTAGACCGCTTTTAAGGGCAACCAGCATTAGACCTCACATAAATATATAGCCTGAACACGTCTAATATATATGTACCAATGTGTATTTGTTTGGCCAGCCTGCCTCTGGTCACCCTCTCTTGTACCCATTGAGGCTTCCAAGACCAGAGTACTCAAGCATGTGTATATTAGCACCCAAATCTACAATTTGCATGTAGTAATTATATAGCCTGTAAACCTACTGCAATACTTTACCGATAGCCACGTATGACACACAACGTGGGTGACCTTAGGCAGTATGTTTATAGTTTTTTTTTTTCTCTTTTTTTCTTTTTTTCTTTCTTTTTCTTCGTTTTTTACCTGCCATACATATCTTGACTCTTAACAACAGAAAGAATATAAGCAGTTATAATTATGGCATAGGTATAACAGATTGACCCTCTCAGAATCGCAATGCCATGTATTTGACATAACCTTCAACACATTTGAATTAATCATAAGCCTGTTTCGCTTAGCAAGATTAAAATAATCTATTGATGTTATAAAGCCAGATATTCTCATGTTTTCACAACAAAATGTATTGTTTAACCTGCCTCACTTTAAAGTATTTAAAAATACTCTCAACTAAAACAAGAATTTACGCAGTTAGAATTCGGGCATAAGTATACATGTTAGACCTTCTCAGAAATGCAATGCCATATATTTAACATAATTTTTGTTAAACGTAACAAAACTAACCACAAGACTGCCTAGCTTAGCAAGTTCAAAACAATCTGCTGATGTTACACAGCCAGATACTTCCATGTTTTTTGTTTTTTTTTGTGTGTTTTGTTCTTCTCTTCAACAATATACTGTTTAACCTACCATACGCTAATGTTACTCGTCTTTAACCTTAAAAAATGTGCACAGTATCTCATGCCATGCAACTGTAATTTTATGTGTCTGAAAACTCTGGTAATCGCTGTTGTGGCATTACTAGACTAAATTTTATCTATATCTATGCACGAAAAATAAAGAATTATATACAAAAAAAAGAAGGGAACAAAACAACAGTGTCCACTCTGATGAGCCGGAATGGCGAAACGTACGTCAGCAGCACTGACAGGCGCACATTACAGCCACTGTATTAGAAGTGAGCTCCTATGAACAGATTTAGCCACTGCACTATAAGTGTGCTTTGAAAAATCAAGAATATTTTGGAGGTTCTAATAGACAAACTCTCAAGTTACCGAACTTGTAGTGAACCCTCACCAATCGCTTATCTCAAAGCTCTGTGCAATCAGCAAACACACCGCGACCACGAAACGCCAATATTTATATTTGTAGTATTTTAGATAGGGGGAGATGGTGTTTAACACTAGTTCAGTTACTCAGGTTTTTGGTTAAGGGTTTGCTCTTGAAGGCACAGTTGGATTACAGTTAGCAGCTAATGTTTCAGTATTTTTCTTTTTTTTTTTTTGTAAATCTTTCTTTATTGAGGCAGTATGCAGCACATAACAGATAAGAATGGATGGAGTTATAGCACATTTACAAATGACAATAGTGTAGCATGCAGTACCAGATAGACTCCTGATTGACCTGCCTTTTTTGTAAGATAACATAAACAAGTGAGGTAAACATGTCTAGGTATAGGAATATACAGAATTGCTAAGGGCATAGCGTAATCTTGACATGTGGGTATATATTAGAGCAAGGGAAAAATTCACTAAACATGCTATACTAAACAAGTTAAAAAAATAGCTGTGATGCCACGGTGTACTGTCCACAACTCGGAGATATGAAGGAGAAAGGAGAGAAATGTGAAATCCCTTCCTAATAAGCCAGATTACAACAATCGTTAGGCCAGGTCTCCGTCAACAGGGTGTAGTAAGTCTGTAAGTGTTGCAGTGATTGTGGTTGTTCTGTACAGCTCTGAGGGGTTTAAAAAACCGCTTAACTTGCCGTTAGGTACTAATATCAGTTAAGGTGGGCAGTGTTGCTTTACGGGTACCTAAGGGAGATAAGGGGTGAGTGAATTATGTTGTGGGGGTGTCGCTTCGTGTCAGTGTGATGCCGTGGCCTTGGGGGGGTTGAGTGATGATCCATGCACCCGTGGGACTGGTGTCTGTTGCTATGATCCATCAGTCAGTGACTCCTGGTCTCATTCTTGTTATAGGTGCGTCATGCTAGAGGTGACATGTAGTTTGTCACATTAGAGGTGCCCCGAACCAACGGGGTTGCGGGGGGAGGGGGCGGGGGGGGGAAATATAGCAGTGCATCCTGCTTAAGGCTTTGAGTGGTGTGGGATGGGAAAACGCTCTGTGGATCTTAATGGTCCAGCTGACTCAGGCACTTAGTTGTGGGGGAGCGGTGTCTGTTTTGTGGGATGTACGTCAAACATGTTACGAAAACTTAACATTGCAAACATTGTAAACAGTAACACAATTAATGTCAGAGAGGTTGGTGCTCTGTGGCACAGCGGGTCGTTGCAGTCATGTCTCCGTTTGGGTCAGCGAGGTGCCTCTTGGCACGAAAGGGATCAGACGATTAGGGTCCCATGTTCGGCCAGCCGGTAGTGTTTCTTCCCCATCCATAGCAGGTAGTCCCAGAGCCTGCAAGAATTGTGGTGCGTCCGTAATGGACGTGAGCTGGTAGGTAGCACCCTGGTGAGTCACAGTCAGAGTCCTTGGGGGTCCCCATCTGTAGGTCAGGCCAGAGTCCCGCAAGCGGCCAGTGATTGGTCTGAGCGATTTCAGCCACTGCAGTGTGGACCTTGTAAGGTCTTGATAAAATGTGAGATGTGCATTCTCAAACAGGTATGGTGTTTTATCGCGCACCGCGGTCATGATGCTTCTCTTATCTAGTAGTGAGGAGCACCAGGCTATGACGTCGCGGGTGACATTAGGGGGTGTGTTTGGGGGCTGCGGCAGTCTATATGTCCCATCTATGGTCAGTTTCCTGGATGTGTGTTGGGGTAGAATAGTGGCCAGCAGGCGCCTCAGATAGTGTGGCAACTCCTCCGAGGGGACCCTGTTGGGTATGCCCCTCAACTTGATGTGGCGCCGCCTGCTTCTGTCCTCCATGACCGCCAAGCGTGCATGCAGGTTTTCTTGGGAGGATTCAACATTCTGGAGAGCGTCTTGCAGGTGAGACATGTTGCCGCGCAGATCCAAGATGTCCTCTTTGGAGGCGCGGACCCTGTCTGTTACCGCTTTGACCTCCTCCTTGAGCACGTCTGTATCAGCAGCTAGCATTTGCTTAATGTCCAGCAGGAATTTCTGAATGTCTTGTTTGGTGGCAAGTTTTTGCCCTTCTTGTGGTGCTGATATGGTAAGAGTCCTGTCTGGGATCTTGGGCTGTACTTGTGGGTCCGCCATTACCTCGAGGCTATTTGAAGTGGAGGCCATTGGGCCTTCTGCGTGCGCCATCTTGGGTTGTGATGGACGCTGCAGCAGGGTTCCAAGGTCTCTTGTTTCTGTCACTGTGCTTGCAGGCGTTCTTTGAGAATGGCGCCCCATGGTGAGTGTATCGCCCTGTACGTTAGGTTGGTTGTGCTCCGCTGTGCTGCGGAGGTCTGTTGCTGGGGATCTCCTTAGGAGCGCCTCAATCTCTGCCAGAGTAGGCCGGTAGTAGGTCGGAGCCTTGTGTTTCACTTTCCTCGGCTTCGTAGCATATATAAACGGCATCCGTCCGGGCTGGGAGGTTCCCCAGGATATTAGCAATATTAGGATATTCTCTCTCTTTGATGATTGGTAATTTTAGGGATAATTGCCCGAAAGTGCAGGATTATTGAGGAGCCCCGTGAAGGTGCGTCTGCTCTCGTTCGTTAGCAAGCTCTGCCCCCCCAGTATTTTTCTTTTTCATATCGATTGACTGTCCCCATCTGAATGAACCTGCTATTTTGTTGCAATCCTTCACTGGCATTTACATGTGAATGTTTCAACATTTAATTTCAATGTATCACCTTTCCATGCTACAACATATGGCATTGACCCTTACTGAAGTCAGGTTGAAATCCCCCATATATCATCAATTTTTACACAGTCTCATCATGTGACCATCCCCCTCCATCATAATAATTAATGATAAAGGGACACTATAGTCACCCAGACCACTTCAGCTCAATGAAGTAGTCTGGGTGCCAGGTCCCCCAGGTTTTAACCCTTCAGATGTAAACATAGTAGTTTCAGAGAAACTGCTATGTTTACATTGCAGGGTTAATCCAGCCTCTAGTGGCTGTCTTCCTGACAGCCGCTAGAGGTGCTTCTGTGACGCTGGATGCAAAAATCGCATTCAGCGTGCAGAACGTCCATAGGAAAGCATTTCCTGTGGACTGTTTGAATGCGCGCGCTCTTGCCGCTCATGCGCTTTTCGCTTCACTCGGGAGCTGACGTCGGCGGGGAAGGAGAGGTCAACAGCGCTAAGGAAGTTCGTGCTGGATAAAGGTAAGTGGCTGAAGGAGTTTTAACCCCTTCAGCCCAGCGGGAAGGGGACCCTGAGGGTGGGGGGGGACCTAAGGGTTATATAGTGTCAGGAAAACAAGTTTGTTTTCCTGTCACTATAGTGATCCTTTAACCTCGGACCTGGTGATTAATCAATAGGTCTATTATTGCTAGGTCTAGTATTCTTCCGATTGGACTAGATAGTTATCTTTGTTAGCCTGACCCCTAGAGGGCATATTCTGTACCTTTTCACTAGATTCTATATCTATATCTATATCTAGTCTTACGCCTAAAATATATACTGTTATTATTGTGCATATTGTTTCTCTGTAGACAGTAGAGAACATCCCCAGAAGTGTGAGCATTCGAGAAGAGTTGTCATACATATTTTGCATTTTGCCAAGTAGTCAAATGGTTCATCAGAACAAAACCAGTTGAGAGGCTTTACTTTCAACAACAACAAAAGACCAACTTACCACAGCCCGCTGCACTACTGCACCCCTTTCTGTTCAGATCAAGAATCCAATAGGAAGAGAAGGAATGGAGGCAGAGGAGAAGTTATCTCAAAGAAACAAAAAAAAAAAACTGGATTAACAAAAAATTGGAAGAGAAGGAATGGAAAAAGGGACACTGATGAAGTTATCTCAAAAATAACAACAACAAAAAACCAAAAAAATAAAAACAAGGAATTATTCAAGCCCACAGCAGACCCTTTCTAAACCTTGAGCCCAAACAATACGAAGAGAAAGCGATGCAGAGCTATATCTAATTGTGTGTTGGAATGTATTTTGGTATATGCTTCTTTAAGTATGCGTTGATACTGGTTTACATGTGTAATGGGGAGTATGACGGGGGGCCCAGACTGTAGTTTTATATGAGGCCCAAAAAATTCTTTTGGGAGCCCTGGCAACCTATTGTTACGTTATGGATAATACAACTCTGAAAAAGAGTCTGACAGGCTTATATATGAACAGGGCTATTTACTAAAGTGAGAAACCAAAGTGAATTTCAAATTTAGAGTTGTGAACCGGAAGCGTAGTTGAATTAGAGAATCTTTCCAGTTGACCTTATATTTGCAATTCACCTTGAATTCTGAATGAAGTGAGTTTCAAATGTAATGCCAACCAACTGAATTGGCTAAATTATTTAAAGGGACACTATAGTCACCTGAACAATTACACCTTAATGTGGTTGTTCAGGTGAGATCTATAGTTCCCTGCAGGCAATCTAATGTAAACACTGTATTTTCAGAGAATAAAATAATAATAAAAAAATAAAAAAATATGATTAGGGAAAACCAACCATCTCTAATTGGAAGCAGAGATTCAATATTGTAGTAAAAAATTACTTTTATTAAAACATAATTCCTATTTAAATACCATAGATGCAATTCATAAAATGTATATCACTCCCCACCTACCTGAAAGATATACACAAATTAAAATCGATGGACGGACAACAATCATGAAGAGGGACTACACACCACTCATTTGAAACATAGGCATACTAGAGACACAGAGATAGATACATCTCTTATGGGTCACACAATGAAAAAGACCAGAGACTATAGTCGGTTTTCCCTTCCCCGCTATCCCACAGAGGACTCCAAGACAATGGAATCTCTCCATCATACCTATTGTTTTTATATTGGTTAACCCCTTAAGGACACAACTTCTGGAATAAAAGGGAATCATGACGGAATATTTCCGTCATGTGTCCTTGGTTAAGGTTACACTTAAACCTGTTTTGTAAACATTAAAAACCCGACAGAACAAGACGGCAAAGCAGAACTCTGAACTGTGACAATATCATCTAACGAACCAACTTCTTTTTTCTGTACCAATGTGAAATCGCTTTAAAACATATGAACTTTGGCTTTTGCATAAGCCCATGTACTGTTCACTTGCGTGAATATTCTGTCATTGAAAAAAAAGAATTACAAAAAAAAAAAAAAAATGTGTTTCACTATCTGGAAGTACAAATATAGAAGGGTGACTGTTTGAATGAAGACTTTGTTCGGTATGCTTGGCATCCTGACTACTCGTAACGTGGATCTGCAACAGACTTTTCCCAATTTCGTGTGGGGGCTGGATGCCAGTAGTGAGAGTCCGTAACTTCCAAACGCTCGTCTCCACTTCAGCGGCTTTCTCAATGGATGTGACTTGACTCGTGTAGCGTTCGTATATTAAAAAGCTGTTCGGTTTGATTAGTGCCTGATTCTTACCCATACACAGTGTTATAGAAACATAGAAACTTAGAATGTGATGGCAGATAAGAACCATTCGGCCCATCTAGTCTGCCCAATTTTCTAAATACTTTCATTAGTCCCTGGCCTTATCTTATAGTTAGGATAGCATTATGCCTATCCCACGCATGCTTAAACTCCTTCACTGTGTTAACCTCTACCACTTCAGCTGGAAGGCTATTCCATGCATCCACTACCCTCTCAGTAAAGTAATACTTCCGGATATTATTGCTGTGGAGCTCTGTTATACGCAGCTCATGACACACCAACAATATGGAGCTCCTAGAAAAGAGGGACAGCGGCATTTATGCCAAAAATAGGGACCGTCCCTCCTAAATAGGGACACTTGGGAAGTATGTGGAATTATGAATTGTCAGGAACTCTCCAGAAAATTGCAAATGCAAACTAGTCACTAGAAAAACGAATGAGCTCCACAAAAATGGCTGACAGTGAGAATATTCCCAATCCCTCTGTGAATTTAGTAAATTATGCTGTTTGTGTTTAGTTGCATAAAATAAGCCACATATAAAATGGTTATAAACAAGGAGAAAAATGATGTTGCCCACAAGAAACATGGCGCCGGCGGCTTCCTGCCCTCAGCGCTAATTTCCGGTCTTTGCGTCGTACGCGTGCGCACGGCGGGCACGCTGGCCCTTGATGATCCTTCGAGGAAACCCCGCACTTCCTTTTCTCGCTGGTGCTCATCGCGGAGAGGTGAGTTCACGACGGGCTCTTTCCATAAAGCACCTCCGCTCCTCTCCCGCTGCACCCGCTGACCGCCATGTCCGCCGTCTCTCCTCCCAGGAACATACCGACCAAGGGGCCCCTGCAGTCCGTCCAGGTTTTTGGGCGCAAGGTGAGTTGTGTAAGGTTGGGATACAGGGACCGCGTGTGCGGCCTGCCCGGACATAGAGCCTCCTTCCTGGATCAGCGTTGTATGGCCCACCAGTACCATACACACAGCATGGGGCAGGGGGAGCTGGTACCGAGCCAGGAGCCTGGTTACTGCTAGCAGTGCTGGGTGGGCCAGTACCATACACAGCAGGGGGAGCTGGTACCGAGCCAGGAGCCTGGTTACTGCTAGCAGTGCTGGGTGGGCCGGTACCATACACACAGCATGGGGCAGGGGGAGCTGGTACCGAGCCAGGAGCCTGGTTACTGCTAGCAGTGCTGGGTGGGCCGGTACCATACACACAGCATGGGGCAGGGGGAGCTGGTACCGAGCCAGGAGCCTGGTTACTGCTAGCAGTGCTGGGTGGGCCGGTACCATACACACAGCATGGGGCAGGGGGAGCTGGTACCGAGCCAGGAGCCTGGTTACTGCTAGCAGTGCTGGGTGGGCCGGTACCATACACACAGCATGGGGCAGGGGGAGCTGGTACCGAGCCAGGAGCCTGGTTACTGCTAGCAGTGCTGGGTGGGCCGGTACCATACACACAGCATGGGGCAGGGGGAGCTGGTACCGAGCCAGGAGCCTGGTTACTGCTAGCAGTGCTGGGTGGGCCAGTACCATACACACAGCATGGGGCAGGGGGAGCTGGTACCGAGCCAGGAGCCTGGTTACCGCTAGCAGTGCTGGGTGGGCCGGTACCATACACACAGCATGGGGCAGGGGGAGCTGGTACCGAGCCAGGAGCCTGGTTACTGCTAGCAGTGCTGGGTGGGCCAGTACCATACACACAGCATGGGGCAGGGGGAGCTGGTACCGAGCCAGGAGCCTGGTTACCGCTAGCAGTGCTGGGTGGGCCAGTACCATACACACAGCATGGGGCAGGGGGAGCTCAATGCATTGCTATTGACATCTGTCCAACACTTCAATTATACACTGAGGGACAATAATGTTTGTGGTACACCAAGATAGTCTGATGTATCTTATTATTTATTCCATTTTATTGCCTCAACGTATGACTTTATCTTGTATTAAATATGTAATATTTGCTGAGCTAAAATGAAGTGCATGTATGTATATGTGTGTGTGTATTTATATATATATATATATATATATATATATATATATATATTACACCCACACAGAGAACCTTGGCACTCACCCTTTAATATTCTAAAAAAACAATCTATCCTTGCCTGGGTGCAATCCTCAGCGTTTAGTATATAACAAAAAATATGTACAAGGAGCACTCACAGGTTTTAATCAAAATTCTGATTTATTCGTTAGTGCAGATTACATGTGCGGGTTTAGATGATCGACGTTTCGACCCTTACAGGGAAGTAGACCCTGTAATGGTCGAAACGTCGATCATCTAAACCCGCACATGTAATCTGCACTAATGAATAAATCAGAATTTTGATTAAAACCTGTGAGTTCTCCTTGTACATATTTTTTGAGATATATATGTGTGTGTGTATATAAAAGCAAAGAAATAGGACAATATATTTTGCTACACTAACATTTAAGTGTAACTTCATGCTGTATTTAGTAATTTTGTCATTTAATCCATTTTAATGTCTTTCTACAGAAAACAGCTACAGCTGTTGCCCACTGCAAGAGAGGCAATGGTCTCATTAAAGTTAATGGAAGACCTCTAGAGATGATTGAACCTGCAACACTGCAGTACAAAGTAAGTATCGAGTTTTATTCCCCCCCCTCTGTTATGAAAGAATGCAAGGTGTTGGTCTACAGCTAATTTTGTTATGCAAATTGTTGCCGCTTTCTTCTAAAAGCCTCCAAGTGCATTTGTTTCTGGATATTGAAAGCATTGAGAAATTGAAGTCTGTTGTGACATAGTATAATTGAAGTTAATTGCCAAAAAAATGTTCTCCTTGTGTACATTCCACTCATCAAATGAACAGTGTATGGAGTATCAAAACTCTAAGTCATACTTCTCAAAGTCCCTCTTGATGGTGTTCATTGGAATCTACACTCACACATCTACTGGTTCGGTGACCTATTGCAGGAAGAAACTAGGCGATCTCATACCTGGCCTTAAATGCACTTGCAATGGAACCTTTGATGTGTGTGTATTTGCTACATGCCTACACGTTCCTAGATGTGCAGTACATGCCTATGAAGAAATCCATTTCATCTTTAGGGTTGCCTTGGATACTGAACTTGAAGTTATGCATTCACTAATGTTTATAGTGAATGGAAGCTATTGACCGTTGTTTTTACTTTTTGCCTTGCAGTGCAGAAAGTCCTTGCAAAACATTTGTTCTATAAAATCTTGCATATGACATTATGTAAAAAATCAATCGCTGCTTCCCAGCACTTGCAAGCACCATAGGCACTGCACTGGAACACAATAACCATCGTAAACCCCACAAACCGCCGCAGCTTGGTTGGGGTCTCACTGTCCTCCCCCCCACGCTGAAACCAAGACCAGGATCCACCTTCCAGTGGGTAGAACTCTCCTAGTCCAGAGAGTGAAGCAGGCTGCTCTTATAAGAGCAAGTGTTGTGATCCAAGGGAGTATAGTGATTATAGCAATCCCCAGAGTGTGAATATAGCTCTCCAATACCCCAAACATGAGCCTAGACTTCACGAAGGGTAAAACTAATATGTTTAATGGTAGCCACAACTGGCCTTTTATGACAGTAGCCATGAAAGAGGCACTCCCCCCTGGACCTGAGAGTAAACCACAGTAGTAAAAAAAATCACAATCACATTGGCTCACAGGTCCAGGACACTCCCATACAAAATAGGTCAATCCCTCCCCTATGCCTGAGAGATAATTGAGTAAAGCACTATACTAAACAACATTATCTCCAAACACAAAAAAACACACATTTTCCGAACACCACAAAAGTACCTTAAAACACAAACAATCCCCACAAAAATTACATCCCCTGATAGCCCTGATCTGGATGACCAGCATATCCAGAAATCACTCAGATCAGTTCAGGAATTTCCTAGAAGTCTTAATTTTGACCGCCCGCATGGTCCCATGCCAAAAACAGTTTCAGAGAATCAGGGCTTGCAGTCGGTCTAGTTCGATAGTTTAAAAACAAACTACATAACAGTTAATAGTCTTACCCTGGAGCTTGTTCCCCTCATCCAGATGAACAATTTCACCGAACAGTGCCCTTCTAAATAGTATAGAACTGAACACAAGTGATGATAGAAGTCCAGCGGTGTTCGGGAGTTTGTGTCCAATTTTTAGCTCTGAGATTCATTCCCAAACACTGCTGCCTGCGTTCATGTGAACAAGATGGCTGCCACCTCGTGGTTGTCCATAGGGATTGCGGCCACACAGATGAACAATTAGAACACTGCGGTTAGAATCATTCCAAGGTGTTAACAAGCTCCCGGGTGGTCCCTGGTTCATGCTGTTGTTCAGTAGTTGAACGGGACAATGTTAGAATAGGAGTGGAATGCAATCTACCGAACAGAATAGCAAAAAGGCACCAACAAGGTCTTTTGTGAGCTTTTTGCATGGCTCATAGTCCTGAGGTAAGAGGCTGGCCAGCAGGCCCCTCCAAGAACACGTGACGAGGCTCAGTTCGTCACAGACGTCCTCACACTTTGCTTGAGGACATACAGTGCCTTCAAAATCTCAAAAGGAAAGTATTGATTCGAAGTCCAAATGCAATACAGGTTTGTATTCCTAACACTATAATGTTCCTTTAAACATGACTTGGTAAAGATGGTTTCATTTCACTATATATCTGTAGGTTATCAAATATTTTCAAGGGCCATCCTCTATGACTTGGACTTGTTAGTTTTGCTTCTTACTACTCTAAACATTCTTAGGCACAGATCTGTTTGAAGAGTTATTAATGCATGAATGTGACCCATAGCTATGTACTCTGACACTCTGTATCTGAAAGGAAAGCTATGAACCTTTTTAGACACAAGGATAATTTTTTCAAATACCCTTCCTGCTCTAATGAAGTCTGCACATTCACTAAGGTACCCTTCCACTTTCTGTAGGAGAAAGTCTAATCCCCATAACCCCCCCTTAAGCCAGCACGATCCCACGGTGTCCAGCAGTTTTAGTTTGCCACTTGTGTGCTCTGGGTGCCTGTGTTCTGTCCCCTCTTCAGATGACGTAAAAGCAGAATATTTAAGTTCCATGTTGGCAGTATCAATTATGTCCATTTTTGAGTTGACAATCCTTTTAACAAATTGTGACGGGAGACCCAATGGCTTTAATATTGCTATTGTGGTAGCAGGAACTCCTGCTGTAGCTGAATCTGAAAATAAGATAGACTGCTGGCACCCAGTTGACATAGATTAGTGAGACAAACAGTTGAATCTTATAAGAGGGATAGTAGCAGACTGTAGTAGTTATGGTGCTTAGATCTGCATTTTAATACTCCAGATTTTCTTGGCCCACCTAGTTACTGCCATAAATGTTTACATTTTCTGCAGCATTTTGTGTGCACGCGCATGTATAGTATTTTCTCCAGAGTGTTTAATCTTTGATATGTTTTATAGCCTATTTAATGGAATAAAAATGACATTGTATTAAACGTCTTCCTTTTTGTGTCCTCCCTAGCTTTTGGAGCCTGTTCTTCTCCTTGGCAAGGAACGATTTGCTGGTGTTGACATCAGAGTCCGTGTTAAAGGGGGTGGTCACGTTGCACAAGTTTACGGTGAGACTCTTTCAACTTCAAATTTAGATGAGATATTTTGAAAACTTCTTTAAGGAATTGCCCACATTCTAAACCAAAAGAAAACATTATATTTGAGCTACAGGTTTGTTCAACTGTAATGTAAGGGTTTCTCTTGAAATGCCCCCATACATATTAAATATAATTTTTTAAAGGACACGAATGGCTTTCATTTAACATCCTACATGTATGCTTAACACAATATTACATGTGAACAAAATGTTAAAAATGATCGGAGCCATTTTTTATAAAGTTATGCACTTACAGTGCAGCTAATAAAAACGAAGTAGATTAATGTCAGTCCTGATTGTTAAAAACCTAAGGACAGGGATAGTCAACATTTGGCACTCCAGATGTATTGGACTACATCCCCCTTAATGCTCTTACAACTATAATGCTGGCAAAGCATCAAGGGGGGTGTAGTCCAAAACATCTGGAGTGCTGAAGGTTGCATATGCCTGGTCTAGGATCTCAATACATTTTAGATAGTTAATGCTAAACCTGTACCAACCCCCACAAAAATGCTATACCAACCATACCCCTTACCCAATGCTTTCACTAACCGTACTCCTAACCAAATCTTAATCTCAACCCTACACTATCTTTAATGCTGAAACAGCAAACCTTCGATTAACCCTACAGTTAACAATGACTCTATCACAATGCAAAGTGTAACCCTACCATGCTTTTACCCCTAAATCTAACCCTATGGTAACCCACTATTAATCCTGATATCAGAAATTAATTTTACTGTATTTAACAGTTGGTGGTATTACCATCTACTGGCCATTATCAGAACTTAGTGTAAATTTGAATGGAACTGGTTCCCAGACGATTTTAGACTATCCCAGATGATTTTACATAGAGATCAGTGCTGGGCAGCTGGGACACCGCTGTCCCAGTCTGCTTGGGAGACCCTGCCAGGGACTTTTCAGATCACAAAGGGTCTCACTCCAAGCTGTCAGCACAGTAAGGAGACCCCCAGGTATCATTGATATTTGGGTTTAGTGGTGTAAGCATGGATTTAACCCTGCTCACACCATGATCTTTTAATAGGCATTTAAATACTTATCGCTGGCTTCCAACACTGCAAACAGCTCATCTAGAAGTCTGAGGCCACTAAAATTGCCCGGGTTTCCATTTCTCTCTCAAAAGTTGTGTAGGGCATTCTATGCAGTCCTAAAGGCAATAAACCCACGGGATGTAGGACAGTTTAGAGTGCCCTAATGTTGTTAAGGGGTGAACTTGTGGCATTTCATAGCCTACATCACTGCATATGTAAACACAATGTGATAGTGGTGTTGTATGACATTATGTAAATGGGCATAGGTTTGAAAACTAGTTCATCTGAGTTTTGTTGTATCATGGTGGGAATGTAGAATTTTTGTTCTGTAACATATATATATTTCCTTTTGTCCCCCCAGCAATCCGCCAGGCTATTTCCAAGTCTCTTGTAGCTTACTACCAGAAATGTAAGTAGTCTATTTCTTCATGTGAATTTTTTTTTTTTTTTATATTTACTTTTTACCCTTTATTTATAATCTTTCATGTTTTTTTGTAGATGTTGATGAAGCTTCCAAGAAGGAAATTAAAGACATTCTCATCCAGTATGACAGGACCCTTCTAGTTGCAGACCCTCGTCGCTGCGAGTCCAAAAAGTTTGGTGGACCTGGAGCTCGTGCTCGCTACCAGAAGTCCTACCGTTAAAACGATTATTTACATTTTTCTGGAAATAAATCTTTGAAAAATCAGATTCGGGTTTTGTTTGTGTTTTTCCTCCTTTTTCTGTTAGCTAAAGTATCATTATTTTATCTGAGGGTTGTGGTGGTAATATTTCTTTGTAATATTTATTTTAATTTTTCAATGTGCATCATACAAAGTAGGGAAGTAGCTACATTAACTTAGCATTTACTGTTAAAGGATATCTATGAAAAATTTTGCATTATCAAAGTGCTACTTTGAAATGTTGAGGCGTTTGCTACTACATTCGTTAGTGCAACATAATTACAGTGCTGCTGTAATGGCAGGTTTTTATGCTGCTAGTATTAGGGGAGGTGAGTTGGGGAAGGAGGGAACAAAACGTTGCATTATACAAAAAAAACTTTGAATTGCAGTTTGTGGCATACATGCTCGATGATGTATGTAGAAATCTATTTGCTCACCTATCTATGAGGCAAGGTTTATTTTATGTGCAGTTCTACATACAGCCTTTTGGTGCATGGTAGACCTTTACATATAACTTTTCAGTTTGAGTTTTTGAAATGTTTCAGTTCTGTTTTTAAAATATATTGCACATTTTGGAGTGATGGTATTCACTTGGAACTTGATGTTTTTAGTATTGGTAGTATTTATAGCATTGTACAAGGTAGAAAACAAAGGTGAAATAATGCTTAAACACTTTGAAAGTGTCATACCAGATAATATGCCATATATTATACCACTTCATAATGCTAATTAGTGTTTGGCAACTCAGAGGCCATATCTTTTTAAAGTGATAAGAGTGGTGTGCTGCTCATAGTAACTTAATCTCATCCTTCTGTAATGGGGAGGGAGACAGATATGCTCTGCATATGAGGACCTCCAGTGCTAGTTTTGTTTTTTCCCCCCCATATGAAAGCATTGATTTAGTGCCTTCCTATGGGGAGGTATAATGCGTGCACAGCATTTGCTGCGCATGTGCATTCGACCACGCTCGTCGTGGGGCAGAGCTTCGACCCAGCGCTGAGGGACATCGGCGCTGGGAAAAGCCAAGTAAAGGGTTTTTATCCCTGTATTTATTGGGGAGGCAGAGGAATCGGTAGTGCCAGCAGTACAGCTTTAACTCTGCTCCGTTTCCTGTGTCAAGCAGAAGGGTGAGTGTTTTGGGAAAACTTTCTGACTCAGGAAATGGAACTGATTTAAGCTGCTCCCTGTCAGTGTAGGAAAAATACATAAGACAAAGTAATCCCTTCTTTGTCTTATGTTTCAAAGAAAACGACCAGAAATGAACAGATTCCGAGAGTAAGAGAAGAGGAAACAATTGGTAAGTTTGGTGTGACTGTACCACTTTAAACAAGGACATGTTGTGCTGCCGTCAGGAGTATATTGGTTAAGTCAGGTGAATAGTTTTTAATTTTTATTTTTTTCAAAATGGGACACTGTTCAAACAGGAACTGTTAATTCCACTTTATTGTTTACTGGGATGATTAAAGCAATGAAAGTAAGGCATGCATATGTGCGCTCTGCTTACAGAGGTAATGTACAAAGACACACGTTCATAATTTTTCTCCAGCGGTCTAATAAGCACGCATGGGCCATGCATACAGCACTGAGAGAGTTAACCAAGTTACATATTTTGGATGGCAATGTCTAAGTTTAAAGATAAGATAGAAGGGGTTAACTAGTATGGTGAGATCTTTATATGGAGGGACCATAAAGGAAAAACTTACTGAAAGGGTGACCAATAAAGAAAATAGCAAACAACTTAAAGGTTGAAAATTAGCAAAATTAATACTGACTGCATGGGCTTGGAAATATTATTCCGAGGACTGTTTTTCAAGCATTACTGTTACAAAAAGGCCCAAATCACAGAATTTCCAGTGGGTATCATAATGAAGATATACTATTTAGGGCTATATTTTAACAAGAGGCAAAAGGGCCAGTGCCCCAGGCCCAGTTATTCCTGGGGGCCCCAAAGCAGCTGCCCCATAAACCTGAAACAATATAATCAGGGGTCCTTTTCAATTTGTTCTTCTCCTGGCCTGCTGGGAGGAAGTGAGGTCAGGACAGGTCACTTCCTCCTAGCCAAAAGAGGAGTGCCTCAGGCTTCCTCAGTTCCTCTCAATCAGCCTAGGTCAACCAGCTCCCACTGGACCCTAGGGACCTCAAAGTAAGTAAGCGGGAGGGTGAGTTTGTGCATACCTGTGTGTCTGTGTACTTTCGAGTCAATGTGTACCTGTGTCTGTACTTTTGTATCATTGTTTAACTATGTGTGTGTACTTTTATATCAAGGTGTAACTGTGTCAGATTGTATATTTACCTGTGTGTACCTGTGGCAGTGTATGTACCTGTAAGTATGTGCACATCTGTGTATATGAACACAAACATTCACACCTCCTTCACTCTGCCATACTCACATTAACTCCCCCAATCCTCTCACACTTACCCATGCCACACTCACCCTATCATATTAACTCCTCCAATTCTGTCATACTCATCCCCCAAAATATAGCACGCTCACCCTATCACATAAAGTTCCCTCAATCGTGTCACGCTCACTCTTCCAACCATGCCACATTTACCAAACTCTGTAACATTCACCCTCCCACCATGCCATGTTCAACCTGTCACATTAAGCCCCCTAATTCTGACCCTCTTACCTCCTCTCCCCCTGTCACATTCACTCCTACAACCATGTCCTGACCACCCCAACCCTTTTACACTCACCCTGTCACACTCACTGTTCCACAGTTAATCCTTTACCCACCCCCTGAAGACAATCATACACACAGTCATGAAATATAGCTGCGCCATAAACACAATGCATAAAGGCCACAGGCAGCCCTCCATACACACAACATATTGCAAACAATTACCCCACACACATGGCCCGAGACACAAACATATACATAGTCACAGAGATGTACATTTGAACACAAGGATACTCACTCTCAGACACACTGTGATAACTATTAATGGGCAAACGTACTGTGATGTTTATTATTTGGAAAACAGACTGTGGTATTGATTAATGGGCACACTGGCCAAAGTATTTTTTTTATCGACATCTAGCTTGGCATATGTTTAATGGGCAAGCCTACTGTGGTATATTTTTAATGGGAAAACTGGCATTTTCCTGACATATGGTGGCAGTACAATAGGGGTGTACTCTTCCCTCGGGACAAGCATCTGAAATAAATAATTAACATAAAAAGTTCCTCCCTTACCCGGTATAAGAGACCAAACCAGCCCTGGGACCTCAGTTCTCTTTCTTGTTCCATCAGGAACGGACGGCATCTAGAAGGAGATGGTGAGGCACATGGGTTGCTGCCAGGGGGATCCGGTCTGATAGCCTCTCGGGTGGAGAGCTGAATGGCCAGCAAGCATCCTGCAGGATTACGGAAGCAGGTATGGTAAACCTGCTTTATGCCAAGTGCAGGCACCGGCAAAACAGGGAGGTGGTCTCTAGTGGCAGCAGGTTTTAGAGGTATGATTCTTTAGGTTTCTAATCTTTAAAACTTTCTATTTTTTTTATTGTTTCTACAAACAATCTAAAAAAAGCCTGCTCCAAAGCTAAACTTCTGTGTTGTAGTGAATGCTCCACTCCTTTACCAGATGGTTTTAAAAGGAAAGTCTGTAATATTTGCTCTTCTTTGACGCTAGAAAAATCCAAGCAACAAGAGATGAAATCCTTTTAGTCTTGGTTTCAGGATAATCTGGCCCAGACTTTTGAGTCTTTTAACCCCTTAAGGACACATGACATGTCATGATTCCCTTTAATTCCAGAAGTTTGGTCCTTAAGGGGTAAAGAGACAGCTCACACTTCTCCTGTAAAAGCTATTAAACAGAAGTCTAAAAGGAAGAGAACACCGTCTAGTTAAGAAATATCCTCGGGTGAATGTTCTTTTTCTTATTCAGAATCCTCTAGCGACTCTTCTGATACTGAGGTTGGTTTTCCTTATGATGAATTGAGAAAATTTATTAAAGAGGTTAATGTTATCCTTTCTGATGAAACGGTAGACAAATCCAAGTGTAAATCACTTCCAGTCCAACAAAAAATGCTGGATTTGATTTTCAGAGAATGGAAGAACCCTGAGAAAAGGGCTTTTATCTCCAGACATTTAAAAAGTATTGTTAAAATGGAGGAGGAAGATAAATGTGAAGAATTGCCGGTAGTTGATGTACAAGTGTCTCAATTGTCTAAAAAAACTACCATACCTATTGGGGAAGTTTCTGGTCTGAAAGACCCTATGGATAAGAAGGCTGAAACTTCCAGCAGAAAGGTTTATCAGGCTGCAGGTTTTCAGGCTAAAGCAGCATTAGCCAGGGCTTCAGTGGTGAGAGCTCAGAATCTTTGGCTTAACACTTTGGAAGATGGTCTGGGTGATAACCAAGACAAAGACCTTTCCCTCCTGTTCCAAAATTTAAGGTTGTCTAATGAGTACGGATGGATATTATCACGGAGGTGATTAAGCTTTCGGCTCATGTCATGGGTTTGACATCTGTGGCCTGGACAGCAGACACTGCATCAAAATCTGCATTATGTGAACTGCCTTTGGAGAAGAAAAAGTTGTTTGGTTCTCCTCTAGAAGAGTTAATCCGACAGATGTCGGAAACCAAGTAGGCCTTTCCTTAAAGACAGAAAATATGCCTGGAAAACCAGGTATAGAAATTTCCAGTTCAAAAACCAAAGGGGCTTTCAAGAAAAACCCAGGTTTTTTCGTCAACAGAGGAAAAATCCAAGATTTGACACACAAAAAGACAATACGTCTGACAGAAACAAATGTTTCTGATGCCATCAGAGTGGGCGGAAGGTTGCAAGGTTTTGTTTACAGATGGAGGGAGACTACTACAAATCCATGGATTTTGAATCTGGTGCAAAAAGGATACCGAATAAAATTCTTAGATGTTCCAAGACCAAGTTTCCTTGTCTCCTCCTACCGGTTGAATTTAAAAAACCAAGCCCTTTTTTCTGCCACGGGCCCCTATTAAGAAAAGGTGTGGTAGAAAGAATTCCAACTTCCCAAGTATATCAGGGTGTATACTCGAGGTTGT